GAAAAATCTCTAGATCTGCAAAAATAAAACCTAGATCTGAAAAAGTGGAAAGGTGAGCATTGCCGATTGAGAAGATACAAGGGTAAGCATCCGCGAAAGTGAAAAGCTTTGCTAGAGAGAAGCAAAGTCGGAGCTTCGCCGATTGGGATCCCACAGAGCTACGAGTTTCTCCACAGTCGTAGACCCACAGACGTGAAAGAGAGAGAGGGGGGGAGCTTTGTTTTTCCTTTATATAGGTGCCACAAAAATGTCCTATATTTTGCTTCTAATGAAAGTCGAAGGTTGTACCTCATTAAAGACTTCCCCAAGCCCACGTGCTTTCATTTTTTTGTGTTTTCAAAAACATCATTTTTCTTATTTTCAATATTCACCCTTGTTTTCAAAACAACTTGACTAAAAATAAATAAAAATATAAATTAAACGTATTACTGTTTTTAATTTTAACAAAAATTAAAAACAAAAAAACAATAAATAAACATTGAGTTAGTAAACGCAACCTAAAACAATATCCAAACTTGGTATCGAAAAGTTTATTTCGGTGACAAAAAAAAAAAAAATTATTGTTAATGGTCCACTTACACTTTGTAAATGATAAATTAAAATTATTCATGACCAAGCATTATTCATGGTCGACTATAATATTAATCAGTAGTAAGTTTTAATAATTGATTATAATTTTTTGAATTACTCTTTTTTATGATATTACAACTTTTAGTATTACATCAAAGGAAGAACCGTAATCATTCCCTGAAAACAACATAGCTTTTTAAATCCACATTAAATAGGTGTAACCACTTTCATTGTTATTTAGAGCTGGTGCATTCACAACTACCATTGCTTTTTGTCAAAAAAAAAAACTGAGATACTAACTATAGAATAGACAGTGACCGAGAGTAGGACCCGTTGATAATGACAACAGATTTCTTGTATGGCCCATGAAAGATTTTGGCCGGGAAGGGGGTCACACGCCACCGTTTAATTGATATGAATTATATAAAAAATTGAGGGGGATTTTTGGGCCATTAGTCCAATATTGCCTTTGTTACATTCATTATTACGAAGAAGAAAAACGCAAGAAAATGAGTAGGTAAAAAAATAGAGGTATCAATCAAGTCATCTCGTCTTATCACCTGGTCGAGATGATTAAGATCATGTAATCTTATATTTATGTCATGTTTTTGTGTGAATCGTGAATAAAAAAATAGTAAAAATAGCATCACTTTTCTCTCAATTAGAATCAAGAATAGATGGATCTTTAATAAAATGAAAATGTACTTGATTAGGCTTCTTGCAAAGTTACTAGTTACATATAATTTAAACCTCCTACAATATTTATGTCAAGGAATAAAAAAAAATATGTACAATTTTTTCTTACAATATCGGTTAGAAGGTTTGTTCATGTCCAATATTAATCTTAGTCATTTATTAGTCATACTAATTGATTGGGTTTTTTTTTGAATTCATGTTGTATTACATTCATGTCTTTTGAATTCAAACTTTTTATCCATCGTACCAAACAAAACAGAAAGACAATGTTTTTCTTCCTTCAAAGATAAAAAGTAAATGCTTCATATTTTTTTATTATTTTTATTTTTCATCTTTCCTACTGAAAGGATTATTATGTTAGTATCTTCTCCACGATTATACTTGTCCATTGCAAAGTGTAACTTTAACTTCCAACAATAGTAATTTTTGGTTCGATACTTAAAAAAATTTGCACTATAGTAAGTTTTTGAGACCTAATTAGGGATCTAATTCAATGCATTATTGAATTAGTTGTGAATTTCAATATTAAGTAGAACTCACCTTTTAATCTAATAGTTGCATTGAATTAAGCCCCCGAATTAAGTCTAAAATAGTATTTTTCCTATTTCTATACGATTAGGCTTGTTAATCTTAACGGGTGAGACAAGCTTGTGTTGAGTCTTAATAGATACATGTCACAAAACACTTTTCTGTTTCGTATTCATATTGTATTAACGGGTCGTATCATATTTTGACACTCAATAAATAATAATGACAATAAATTATATATTCTATTGCTAATAATTAAAAAAGCAGTTCATTTGAAAACGGGGCAGAAAAGAAAGAATATAGAAAAAGGATTATTTGAAAAGTGGGAAAAAGGAAAATAATTAGAAAAAAGCAAATGTTACTTTTAAGACAGAGTGTTACAAAAAATTCTTTCTAAATGAGGCAATAGGTTCACGGGAAAAAAAAAAAAAAAAAAAAAACGAAGGCAAACAGTGGTTGGTGGTGGGTCCCTTGTTCCCCCAATTGCCTTAATGGTCGTTTTCGCGTTAAATCGTTAACGTCTCCATTTCAACGTTGGTGATTTCATCATGCCAATACCAATTGCTCAGCGTGCCGTAACGGAACCGTTGAAAGAAATGGCATTTACGTAATAAATTTGAAGTAAACGGGCTTTTTATGTCGATCGGTTTTAGGTAGGTAAATTTTCAACCGCTCATACCGGGTTGTCGAATACACGCAGACAAGGACGAAACTTCGTGTAAAGTAAGTGAATCAAAACCTTATTATAAAACTAATCACACGACTTAAATAATGATTTATATTACAATATCACCCCTTATCTTTTTAATAATTTCAAGAGATGGCATCATTGTTTGCAAAATTGTTCATCCTTCTATCTATTTTTCCTTTTCTCCAATTTCTACACGTTATATGCACATAGAGAAAGAAGAGGATCATCAAACTCCACATCCCCACAAGCTCTAAAGAAGTTGGTTAGACATGGATTCTTACCAAAAACACCCCACTTTAATCTACATAAGTTAGGACCATAAGTCATCGTGCATCACATTTGTAGAAAAATAGTATCATTACTCGTTTTTACTAGATATGATCATTTTTTTCCACGTCCATCTTTCTCCTTTTGGACAAAGAAAACTCACCGTCATTGTCGACCTTTGCCATCTTGCTTGTTGTTCATTCATGTCATTGTGTTGCATTAACGAAAACCCTATCTTTTATAAACCTATGCACATTGTAATGACAGAAAGGAAAAAACTTCCATATCAAGCTTAACGGTTCCAATAATCATTGGTGGCACATATGGCTTTGGGTTGATACCAAATTGAATGCAGAAAAATATAGACATAGAATCAGAATTTTGTGCACTATTGATGGATGTATACTTAGTCTAAAATAATGTATGTCTTGAATTATCACAAAACCATCAAAATTGGGAGTGATTTTCATGAAAAATAAGAAAATTATAATTCTAAAATAATGTGAATGAAGTTAGACCAACAAAAGATGAACATCCATATGGTTGTATATTATGGGATGATCGGAAATATTTCAAAGTCAAAAGTAATCTTTCATACCACGAGGATAATTATTTTCCACTCCAAATGACTATAAAGAGTCATCTTTCTACACACTATGCAATTAAAGAAAACCGTGGATTTCCAATTGCCAATATGATTCACAAATTCAACATCCCAAAGCCGAATTCCATAAAGCTGTCCAACTAACTCGTCAAACCATAGTACTAAAAAGTTATTTTTTGATACAATACCCCTTATTTTTAATCAATAAGAGTGTTACACGTGTGAAGTACTTATATTTTATTTTATTATTTTTAAGATTAATGACTACAAATAAATAAACACAAAATTTATGATTATTGATAATGATAGATTTCAACTTGGACTACCCGTTCAAAGTCCAAAAACACCCGATAGACCCCCCTTGTTACATGGCAGCCTAAGCGGCCCACTCGCAACATGCTCGTCTTGTCATAAAAACTAGGCCACAACTCAAGGCAAGGAAGTCTAATGACGCTCAACTCGGTGTATTCTTGCTCGATCATTTCAAGCACGACGGAGTGAGCCAGTTTGAGAATTAGGAGCTCGATACGAGATAAATTTTAAACAACTCTCGTCACGTCACGTGTCCATGGGACAGGGGACAACTTCTGGTAACCCTAACAAACAAATATTCCCTTTACCAGGGAATATTTGTATACATTCAATTTTAAGGATCGTGGATACAACATGCATCAGAGTGATAGACTCCCGCTACAGGACAAATGAAGAGGAGACCACATAATCAACCAAGAGAAGAAAGAATCGCAAAAAATCTTAGATAGCCACATGTATAAATAGGGGACGAAATCACTATAATAAGGGAGAGTCCCAAAATTTTATTTGCAATGCTCTATGTAAGAAATAGGCTCTCAGCCAAATAACATACTGTAATTATTATTTTCTTTTTCAAGGATTACAAATCCCAATAAGAAAGAGTCTCCGTTACTATAGATATAGTTTTAGTTCTACACTAAAATGAACCATTTATATTTGTTACTTTATTAGCCCAAACATTCACAAAGCCTCTATTGGACCTCTCGGTCATTGTTTTGCAATTAGGTATAATAATTTTAAGTACTATCAATTATAATTCATTTTTTTAGTATGATATCCACATTTTTTTTTTGTGGGTGCCGTAGTCTTAACGCCAACAAACATTAATATAAGATGGGGACAGAGATTCGCAAGCGGACGGGGTGCTGCGATGTTTAACTAGGCCAATACATTGTTCAAAAAAAAAAAAAACTAGGCCAACACACTACAGCATGAAACTTTCGAGGCCTAATTAGGAATATTCATAATTATAGGGTCCATACAGCAACACCTTATTAAATATTTCACCGGTAATCTGGTTTTTTAGTCCACTCCACAGCACTCTCTCTCTCTCTCTCTACTGTCAGTATCTCTATCTCTACGTAATCGAAAGTCATAAATGAATCAGAATAAACAAAACCAGTTCGAGTCCGACAGAGTCGGTGGAGAAAAGATGGCCTTCTCTGCGCTCTTCATAGCCGCATAATCCGGCGAGTCTCCGGCCACATTCTCACAGGAATGTCAGTTTTCGGCGACCTCGCTGCCACGACACTCGCATTTCTCTTCACAAGTTCTCATTTCACCTTTCGCTCACTAGGCATCTCCACTTTCTCTCTCTCTCTGCGTGAAGTCTCTGGCTCTTCGATATGTCAGAGCTAGCAATTTTCTGATGCTGCGAACTTTTTAAGTCTTGGCAGTACTTTTACGGTTACGCCTTTTTGCCCTCTCGCTCGATCTCGCTTTTCGAAGGTGAATCGAATCCGATTCTCTTTCTACGTTGCTTTTACTTTGCTTTAATTGCAGCTTTTTTTTAAATGACCTTTTGAATCTCGATTCCTATTTTTTTTTTTTGTTTTAATCGACAGTGTTTAGCCATAAACGCTGCGATGTACTCCAATTATAGCTCATTTTACCAAATAAATAAAAGGTTTTCCTATTAATTTTGTATTAGTTTACCTTTCTAATTGTGGATTTGGTTGGAATTATATGAATTTCAGCTTTTTCTTTGGTTTTTGGCCTTTGAACCTATATGGGGGTGAGAATAGGCCCTTTTGAGCATCTGATCGTGTGTTTAAGCATTGATGGCGATTTTAATGAATGCTCGTTACGTAGTGGTTTTCGTTATATTCTTTTCAGCCACTTGAAGTTTTATTCCACCTTCGTATGACAGCTTGATGCTTAGTTTCATGTGAATGATCTGTATTTTGGCCGTACACATTAGTCTTGTCTCTGTTCTTTTTATTTTTCACGTAAATCTAGGCTTTAGATGTAGAATTTATATTGATCGGCCTTTCAATCTCTCTCTCTCTCTCTCTCTCTCTCTCTCTAAGGAAATGAGGGGTGGTAAGGGAACTATTGGCAAATTTACCAAATTGCTAAGGATATAGGTGGTGAGGTTTTCTATGAAAAGAAAATTTTGATTTGGTGATTAAGATTAATGTTGCTGATGTTTCATCCCAGGTGTGAAATGAATGGGCTTCAGACTGGTGAAGCTCGCAATCTTGAGAAACATTTTCCGGGATGCTTGGGAAGAATGGTGAACATGTTTGATTTGGGGGCAGGTGTGGCAGGAAACCGGATGCTTACAGAAAAACCACATCGTGATGGTGATTTCCTCTGCTAATCTATTCTTTGCTATGTATTTTGTGACCCTCAAGTCGTTTAAGAAGTTTTCCTAGTTTTGACAGATTTGGAATTTCCCAGGAATTTCAGTTATTTCAACTACATCGAATGATCTTTCTGATAGGTTCTCTCTTGGATGAAACTAGGTAGCTTAACCACTCTTAAAAGCTGAGAAGGCATGATTAGTGATGACATCAAGCATACACCTAATTTCTTTTGCTTGATAGTTATGTTTGATTGTTATCATGGTTCCATCTAGAACAGAGTAGAGATTGAGCTGTAAAATCTCAGATTAATTTTAGATGTTTATATAATGTACAATTGGCCAGTTGTCGCATGAAAAAGGAACTTGCATTATCCACTCCTCCATTTCCTTGTATTCTTCAACGTGTTAAAACTTGAAAATAGGCTAGTGAAATTACCGATTACATTTGTTGATCTGTTTGCAGTTTGCACTGTGCATTTGTTGATCTGGTTGATGTCGATTTACTTCTTATTCTTATACTCCTCTCCTTTCTCTATTGGAGCTGGTATTATCTGAATCAAGACCAATTTTCCCTCCTGGAATAAGTTATTCATAACAGAATAATTGGCAGTATTAGATTACTGGAGTAATACTAAATTCATTGATATGCTAACCTGCTTTTTGGTTACTTTTTTGAACATCCTGATAGAAACTTCTCTTTTGGTACCTTTAACATTGAGATCTTAGACGACAATATTAAGCTTCCTTATCTTGGTAATAATTGATGAACAGGTTCTCCGCTCTCTAGGAGCCAATCAGATGTGGCAAGGATGAGTCCAACTGGGGACAAAATAGAGGATGAATTGGTAAACTTTAATTTGATTATTGATTTAGTAACTGTACAAACACGGCGAATCAGATTTTTTGCAGACTGTATCTTTGGCACTGGAGTCTCAAGTTTTGGCCTTTTACCTTATGATACTGATATGTTGTGTTGGTTTGGGACACACAGATGGTGTCTGAATTAAGGAGAACCTCGTCAAACAGGAAATCAAATGGAACACCCATGAAGATGCTCATAGCCTATGAAATGTCAAAAGAGGTTGAGTCTAAGCCCAGTCCGCCAAATTTGGTTGCCAAATTGATGGGGCTTGATACCCTCCCATGTCAGCCACCTAATTCAGCTGTGCAAAGATTCCATTCAAGAGGCTATTCAGAGAGTCATTCCAGTATACCCTTTAGCTCTTTTCAGCAAGAACAAGGTTTATTGGACAAGGAAGTATGGCATGAGAATGAGTATCATCAGTGTCCAGAGCCCAATGAATACAAAGATGTTTATGAGATGTGGCAACATTCGCAAAAAACAAGTTATAGAAGAGATACATCACCACAGAAGGGAAGATGTAAAGAAACTACAAATGAGAAAAAGATGGCTCTTGTTCGTCAGAAGTTCATCGAAGCAAAACGCCTAGCCACAGATGAAAAACTTCGTCAGTCTAAGCAATTCCAAGAAGCATTAGAAGTTTTAAGTTCCAACAAAGATTTGTTCCTCAAGTTTCTACAAGAACCAAATTCCCTATTCTCTCAGCATCTTTGTGATATGCAGTCTACTCCCCCACCTCCTGAAACGAAGCGTATCACTGTTCTTAGACCTTCTAAAATGCTGGATCATAACAAAGGGAGGAGTAATGAAAAACATATAAAGAAGGCAGTCCATGCTAGCCAGGTAAATAGGTTGGATAAAAGCAGTCCTGGATTTTCCCCTCCTGCCGCAAGTTGGAAAATTGATGAAAATCCTTCTCAACCAACTCGAATAGTGGTACTAAAACCTAGCCCAGGGAAGTCTCATGACATTAAGGCTATTGTTTCTCCACCTTCCTCATCGCCAAGAATATTACATGCTGAAGAATTCTATACGGAACCAGAAAATGATGAGGCACGGGAATCAAGAGAAGTAGCAAAGGAGATCACACGGCAGATGTGTGAAAATCTAAGCGGACACCAAAGGGATGATACCTTGCTTTCTTCTTTGTATTCTAATGGCTATAATGGTGATGAAAGTTCATTCCATAAATCAGAGAACGAGTATGCAGCAGAGAATCTCAGTGATCCAGAGGTCATGTCACCAGCTTCTGTACATTCATGGGATTACATAAATAGGTTTGAGAGCCCTTATTCTTCCTCCTTCAGCCGTGCATCTTATTCGCCTGAGTCATCTGTTTGCAGAGAAGCAAAAAAGCGACTCTCTGAAAGATGGGCCATGATGGCATCTAATGGGAGTTGTCTAGAACAAAGACATGTGCGTAGAAGCTCAAGTACTCTGGGTGAGATGCTCGCCCTTTCTGATGCAAAAACTTTAGTAAGATCTGAGGAAGTGGATTGTCATAATAAACAAGAATCTAGGGGTTCAACTTCATGCTTGACTAGAGATTTACATAAGGATGAAGGCATAGAAAATTCTCCTAGGAATCTCCTAAGGTCGAAATCTGTTCCAGTATCTTCTACGGTGTATGGTACCAGGCTTGACGTAGAAGTTTCAGATCCTGAGGTGGGCAAAACAGGTGCTTCCAATGAGGTGATCAAAGCAAGAAGCACGAAATTGTCATTAAAGGGAAAAGTTTCAAGTTTGTTTTTTTCGAGGAATAGAAAATCTAAAAAAGAAAAACCGGATGCATCTCAATCCAGGGACGAGTCTCAATCTGCTGGAATGACTCCGGGAAAAGTAGGTTGTGATGGATCCCAATGTCTTAATGACCTTGGGCTTGAAGAGTGTTCATCACCTGGTCTGCATGGATCATCCAGCAAAGATACTTTGCCTGATTTGGATTGCATGGCATCAAAACAGGGCATAATTTCTCCAGAGGTAACTTAATCTTCTTTTCATTTCTCTGTGTGTTAGCTTTTAACTTACACACTCAAAACACACATTTACATGAGACATGTTCTTTTTTTTATTTTTTTGGTGCGGTTAGGATGGTTAATACAGGTGATACTTGCTCGGTCCTTTTTTCCTCATCCAACTATTGCATTTTACTAAATTGGGTAACATCTGTAAACCTTGTTCTCTGTCTTGCAACAATATAATGCAAACGGCCACAATACTTCTTGCAACTCTGTGTTTTTTCCATATTCCTACACATTCATTTTCTCTTTCCTTTTGAAATTCCTGTAAAATGCAAAAAGATTTTGTTGATCAATCAAAGGGTACAAACATACACAAATGTTACTTCCTAGGAAACTGAGCCAGGATTGGTGTACAATGACCTCTGAGCAAAATAAATTATGATAATGTTGTGTGTTTCAGTTCTGAAAAAATTCATGGTCGACACTGATATGACAGACAATAAGAATGGGATGATCATAGTCAATTGCAATGTTGTACCTTTCAAGAGTTCTAGAAAGAGAGTTGGAGGGGTTGATGAGCAAAAACTTTTAGAGGTTGATAAATGGAATTGGTCAATAAACAATGAGACTGTCTTTGTGGTTGAATTTGATGTTAGTTTTTTGAAGTGAAGGAATCTCGTCAGCCTTTTAACCAGGTTCTCTACTTTCTGCAGGCTGGAATGTCGGTAACGAAGCCTGTGGTGTTCGGAAATTCAAATGACACCCAAGACCAACCAAGTCCAATCTCGGTGTTAGATCCATCATTTGAAGAGGATTACCATGCAGCATCAGAGTCCTTCAGCACTGTAAAGCCTGACAGACATGGTAAATTCTGTCGATGGACACTTGAAAATTCTCTCATTCCTGTTTCTTTCTTTATGTCTTGTTTAATTCATTTTCTTTTAATGGAACAGGGTTAGAGCTGACTGTTCATCCTATCAAATCCAACCTGATTGACAAATCACCACCCATAGGATCAATAGCTCGGACTCTATCATGGGATGATTTTTCTGTGGACACCGCTAGTTCACATCCATCAAAACCCTCCGTAGCCTCTAAAGGAGGCAAGGAAGAACATGAATGGTTCTTCTTTGTACAAACGTTATTGTCAGTGGTTGGCCTTGATGGTGAGGTGCATTCCGACTCATTTTTGGCCAGATGGCATTCGCCCGAAAGCCGTTGGACCCATCATTGAGAGACAAATATGTCGACCTGAATGAGAAAGAGATCCTTCAAGAGGCTAAGCGAAGGCATAGGAGATCAACCCGAAAGCTTGTGTTCGATTGTGTCAATGCAGCACTGGTGGAGATGGCAGGGTATGGGTCAGACATATGCCAAAGAGCATACTATGTAGCGGGGTCCACAGTAGGTTCCTAGAGGGTGCACCGTCCATAATGGTGGACCAAGTGTGGGCTCGGATGAAGGAATGGTTTTCTGGGGAAGTGAGCTGTGTGTTGGGTGATGGTGGTGACATTGACAGCCTGGTGG